ATATTTTAAAGCTCAATGTTGGTTTGGGGCTAATTGGCGTTAGAGAACAAATGTTAAATCATGCAAGGAAAATGGTGTAAGCTATACTAGTGAAGCAGCTTTCAGAAAACCTTGATAGGTGTGCGGTTTATCTTAGTCACAAGCCATGCATAGGAAATTCGATTCAAATATCCTCAATGCAGTTCAAAAGATTTTCTGAGGATAATTTTGGAGCTTTGTTTGTCTTGTCTGAACCTGAAACCAAATCGATATTATGAGCGATCTGTTTTACACAGATCTCCCATGACAAATCACGTTAAAAGCGCTTAAGTTAGACTGTTATTTGGTTTTTATTATTGCCCAAGCGAAAAACAGGAAAGCCGTCATTCCACAGTAACATTATTATATTTAAAACACATATTGAGTTCTCATACTAATTTTCCTGGCGAGAAAATTTTACAGAGTTTGTGTAAGTCACTACAGTCACCGATGACCCTTGGCTTTCGTGCACAAACAAGTTTAGTCAATATCAATACACGTATTCTAATTAATATATTATTTACCTATGTTTCAACATTGCCTAATGTTTCCACGTTGCCTAAATGGATACCAAAAAATACTGTAAACAGCTTTTAGCATATCTGTATGCCGGACAGGTTTTCTCCTTAGTATACATCGTAAACTCGGTTTGACACAACTTTTCCAAAGTAATATTTTTATATCTAAATCAAAACGTCACAGTGAGTTCTTAAGCTTATTTTTCTGGCGGGGAAAATTTTAAATTTGTGTAAGTTGGCAACCGTTAGCCACCGCTGTCTTTAATGCACCGTGGCTTTCGTGCGGGAACAAGTTTGGTTAATGTCAATATACTTAGTCTAATTAATATATTATTTACACATGCTCACTGTTCGAGGATATGGATAATTAACTTGCCTTAGCAAAACTTCATCATGCTAAACTAGGTTAATAGTGTTTGCTTCTAAAAAGCAGCAAACTGAGTAAATAATGTCTGCTTCCAAAAAGCAGCAATTTTAAAGCCAGCTTTCGCCACTACGCAATTAGACAATGATTTCAGCATCCTAACGGCACAAAAATTAGTAACTGATCATTAATTTTCGTTCATTCCAAATTAAAGGGTGATGTCGAAGCCAGTTTAACACTGAGCTATCAGTAAATACACTGCATCTTCTCGCGGCTTTGTAAACATTACAGTTTTCAGCTGCGTTAAACGGTCAAAGATCGAATCGGAGATTTGATCATGAATTGATCACGCATTTTTATTTATTCCAAATAAAGAGGTGATATTGAAGCCACTGAGTTAAACGGTAAATAGACTGTATCTTCTCACGGCTTTGTAGACATTTCAGTCTTCAGCTGCGGTTAAACTGTCAAGTTGAAAGACCGAATCGTGGATCAAGTCCCTATAAAGAAAGCATAGCGGTTCAATACTTTCTTAGCTCTCACCGGCACAAGACTTCGGGAGTTGGTTTCCCATGATAGCTTAGCTCGGAGCATCCTTACCTCAGGTAAGTGCAAAAGTAGATTTAACTATTGCAATACTTAAATTATCTTTTAATTTGCTTTTTTCTCAACGGCGGTGGTCCATATGAACTAAAATAAAATGTTGGAAACTAACTTTCGCTAAACACTGACAGCGATATATGTGCTGACTTCTGACTTTCCTTCCTCTTGGTCTTTGTTTTTCTCTGTATAAGGTGGGCAAACTAAACATATTTTCATAAAAATGTTGGCGAAAGTGTTATGCTGGAAACTTTCACCGATACAAAACCGATTCAATCTTACGTGTTTTGCCAAATAATGAAGAAACTGTTGACTTCTGACTGAGTTTCGTTCTCGGTGATTTACGATTTCGAAAGCCAAGATCGATGAACGAAACTCGACAATGAAGATCGAAATTCTGTTTTCGGGCAAATTCACAAAAGGAAAATGGAAACTTGAAATTCATTTGTTTTCAAATTTCTTCCAAAAACCTGCGGTTGCTAATAGAAGGACGCATTCTAAGAACAAGGCAAGTTTCGCGTGTTAGATATTTCGGAAGGATCAATCAGATTTATAATAAACTAAATGTAACTTTTGATTTGAAAAACTGTGATGGTTGGTCCTTTTACCGTAAACGAACAGGAACGGGTGAACTCTAAATGCTTGGATAACGGAATAATTACGACGACACACGCAGGCAAAATTAGACTCAAACAAACCGGGCACTCGCTTGCAACGAAGGGCCCATTTTGTGGCTAGATCCTGGTACCCAATAGCATCACGGCAGGCAGCGACAGCGATAACTAGGTTTTGGTTCCAACAACAGTTTATTCACTCAAAAGCATATCAATCGAGATGTAATCAAAATTAAAAAGCACTGCAAGTGAGATTGATTTTATACGATACGTAGAAGCATTTATTGTTAACAGTGTTTAATACACTGAAAGTTCGCTGACATAATAACGTGAAAGACACTCACAGTGGTGTATAAAGTCCTTTAAGGATGGCTTATCGGAACAAAAGTTCAAAATTAACACAAGAACTTTTGTTAAAAGAATTATTTACTTTGTCGGGTTAATACCATCGATCTAAATTACACTAAATTAAAGGAGCTATGTCATGGTTTCAACATGTTGAAAAGTTTAGCCTAAACTTTTCAAGTTCGGCGTTTGTAATCCTTGTCAATCTTCTCCATCCTTAACCATCCTTGTTCCTTTATGGTTTATTATTATCTTTTTGGTGGTTTCTTATCTTAGTAAACTATCATTTTCAGGTTTCCTTTAATTTAAAAGTAATTTTGTGCGTGACTCAAAATATCGAGACTGAACTCCTTTTGACCCTACCGAGCGAGATAAAAACTAGTGAGACAATCTCAACTAACGAAGAGTGCAACGTACAACACTGACACGTAGTATCCACACAGGTCCCCACCCCACCCCTGTTCAGTCAGTCCCAGTTTGTCTTAGGGGTGGTGAATGGTAACTGCGAGACTTTGCGAGAAGGCGAGACTAACGTTTTCTTTCCGTGCCCAAGACATTCGTTGATTTCTTCAATTGCGAGACCGAGTCTTCAAAGTGGTTTAAATGCAAGCTTGAGAGGTTCAGGTTCTAAGACGCTCAGGCACCATTTACATAAAAAACAACAAACAAACAAATCGGTACTTCGAGACTTTCTCAGTCTTGCCCAAAAAACGAGACAGCGAGACCCCGAATCAAATTTTTAAAGATATTATCTGGTGTCATGTTGCCATGTCAAAATACAAGATCCATCACCACTGTACGTACATGAATTTCCTCATCGTTACATTTTCCATACTCTTAGTCGCTCTGTGAAGTTCCCCTAAGGGTCTGAATGGGCCTGCTGTAATTTCAGTTATCACTTAAAGATTTGCCGATTTCTCAGGGTTTTTTTAACCGATTTCTCAGGTTGAGTTTTTCTCAGCTATCAGCAAAAACGCATCTTTCTCAGCTTAAAGTGGCCGATGAATTAAGCTCCATCCAAATTCTCTCCCCTGCGTGAACCATCAGGTTCGAAGGCGTAGTTAACTTTTCTAATCAGTCGATAATACCATGTACTTTCTTCTCCTAGGATCAAGCATGAAAATGAACGGTATTTTATTGTTGCTGCTTGGTTTAGCACAAGGTAAATAAAATATTCCTTTGGGAAGCACCAATGAAAGATTATGAGTAGTGACTAGAATCGATTTTTGGATTGGCGTTTCAGAGCGCAGGCGCAGCCTAAAAATGCCAACGCTTTACGTATGTGCACTGAAGTTGAGCAGATAAGAACAGTATAAAATTGAACAAATCTGTGTTTTAAGGGTTGTTTTTTTTTGTCTTACAAATAAGATATCCCTTTGACTTTAAAAGAGAAAATCAATATCTTTAAGGCATTGCATACTTAATTTTATCAAAATGACAGGGTTTTAAACAATACAAGCCTTCTATAGAGTCCCAATAACTTGTCACTTACAGACTCATGTCCTTTCGTCAGTTACAACAGCTTACTATAATCCATGCTACAACTACAACACTCTCAGTGCAGTCGACCGCCTCATCACCTACACTGGTCAAAGCCCACTCAGATGCGATCAGAGAGATATCAACCCTGGATGGTATCGCTTCACTGGTGTTTCTGGTAACCTAAAGATGCCCACTAATTGTCCAAACAAGAATCGTTGTGGTACGCATGCCCCAGGATGGATAACTGGAAATCATCCTTCTGTGGCTGACGGTGTAGTGACTCGTACAGTCTGTTATCATTGGTCAAACACCTGCTGTCGGTGGAGTAACTACATTAAAGTCAAAAACTGTGGAGCGTTTTACGTGTATGAGCTGCAAAAAACGCCTGCGTGTTACCTTCGATACTGTGGTAAGTGTTGACATTTTTCGGGTGCAAAAGTACTCATTCAGGCGATATAGACAAATGCCTGTGGTCAGGGCCGTAGCCAGAAACAAATTATGACTGAGGCAGTGTCCAAGAAATGAGTTGTGACTGAGGCAATGTCTATGGTTTAATTCTCTTCCTGGGAATTTAGAGTGTTTTTGATGACTATAAACAACAAAAACGAAAAAAATGACTGAGGCAAGTGCCTCGGTTTGCCTGTTACTAGCTACGGCCCTGGTGGTAATGGAAGACGTAGAGCTAGTGCAGGAAACAGTCAAATTAACTAGAACGTTTAAACCGAAGGAAACATTCCCGCTCGATTTTGAAGCCTTAAGAACTCCACGTCGCGCTCCATATTAAAATTGTTTGACATATTTATTTGTACAAAACAACGTCTAATGGAGCTGTTTGGAATTTGTTAGTAGGCTGCAGTGTGGGATTGTAGACAGTGAAGGTGTTCTAACGCTTCCTTAACATATGCTTTTCCAACAGTTGAAGCTCCTGACCCATGCAGCAACTACCACTACCTCTATGCAGCAAACCGCCTTGTCACTTACACTGGTCAATTCCCACTCAGATGCGATCAGAGAGATATCAACCCTGGCTGGTATCGCTTCACTGGTGTTTCTGGTAACCCAAAGATGCCCACTAATTGTCCAAGCAAGAATCGTTGTGGTACGCATGCTCCAGGATGGATAAATGGAAATCATCCTTCTGTGGCAGACGGTGAAGTGACTCGTGAAGTTTGCTATCATTGGTCATACAGCTGCTGTCGGTGGAGAAACTACATTAAAGTCAAGAACTGTGGAGCCTTTTACGTGTATGAGCTGCAAAAAACGCCTACATGCTCACTTCGATACTGTGGTTAGTATTAGCGTTTCGCAAAGGCACACGCATGTAAGGTAAAATTGAGGTAGGTAAGGAAAGGTATAACATGCATGAAACAGTCATTTAAACTGAATGACTTACGCTGATATTGTGGTTAGTATTTATTTTTAATTGATAAAGATGTACACACTCAAGCAATGTAGACAAATTATGTTTGCGTTAAAGAAAGGCATAAGGTGAATTGAAACAGTAAAATTGACTGAAACATCTGTACGTCTGGCAACCTTCCTGTACGGCTTCGCCGCATTACAACTTCCACGCTTCCAGTTGGAAACTAGACATAATTGCGGGTTATCCTACTCGAAAAAATTCTTGTGCCTTCATTTCCACAAAATCGTATCAAACAGAACTTTTTCTTGACATTTGTCAGTAGACAATAGTGTCAAAATTTATTCAGCGAAGGTGTTTTAACACGTCACTGACTTGTTCCAACAGTTGCAGCTTACCAGGATCCATGCAGCAACTACAAGACCCTCTATGCAGCCGACCGCCTAACCTCTTACACTAGTCAAAGTTCAGTCAGGTGCGATAAGTATGATATCACTCCTGGCTGGTATCGCTTTGTGAGTAGTTATGGCTATGGTTACCCAAAGATGCCCACTCATTGTCCAAGCATGAATCGTTGTCGTACGCATGCTCCAGGATGGATGAATGGATATCATCCTTCTGTCGCAGACGGTGTAGTGACTCGCACAGTCTGTTATCATTGGTCAAACAACTGTTGTCAGTGGAAAAACAACATTAAAGTCAAGAACTGTGGAGCGTTTTACGTGTATGAGCTGCAAAAAACGCCTGCGTGTTACCTTCGCTACTGTGGTGAGTATTAATGATTTTGACTGAAAACGTACATGTTATTTTTGAACAATAAATATAGTAAGAATAATAATAATAGCAATTTAATAGCACTTTACTCTCGAGTTCTATGGCACTCTCCGGAATGAAAAAACCTAGTAATATAAATACGACAATATAAGAAAGTGAAAAGAATTTAGGAATAAAATGTTTACGTAAAGATAGGGTTTAAGTTTAGATTTAAAAGAACGCACGGTGTTAGATCCTTTTATACACTGGCGAGTGATTTAGAATCGCTGCGCGAGTGTGATTCTATCAAAACTGGTGTAATGGTCTGCTCAATAGCCATTAACCAGTCAAGGTAGCACATCAGTGCATATAATTCTGTGATAACATAAGTCTGAATCTGTCTTAAACAGAATATACATGTAGTTTCCCGATTTATGTCTTTTAAGATGGTTTCTACTGAGCAATCTGAGATGGGAGACGTTTGCCGATATTGATCAGGTCTTAGTCAGCATCGAAAAAGTTTCCTGAAAAAGAAAATAACTGTATGGTTTGACAGAGTCCTTTTCTTACACACTCCTCTTTACCCCAAATGGGATTTTATAATAGTGGATGTTTTCCTAAACAGCACAGCGTCTTAATTTTCCCACCGGGAGACATTTGGATCGGTAAGGTTTTTGAATATAAGGGAAAAGTGACGCCACGAAAAGTTTAAGTTGTCTTGTTCATGCTCAAAGAAACCTAAAACATGAACAACTTAACCCCATAATTCAAAAATTCCGCCAAAAAAGCCGTTTACCGTTAAATCAGTATTTTAGCTGCCATGAGGCTAAATGGGCCTTAGTTTTGCAACAAAAGCTTTTTTTTTTTTTTTTTTTTACCAAAAAGATACATTTCCCGTAGATTAGGTACAAAAATGTACATACAGCAATGTACAAGATTTAAATTAAATTTTCTTGTCCCTTTCCTTTCCTTTTTCTCTTTTTTGGGAAGGCGTAGGTCACGCCGGCAGTTGGTTGCTTTTGTATTTGAAGAGAATTGATTCACGTTTTGTTTTCTGTTTCACAGCTGAACCTTGAATCAACCTTCGACTGGGCTCAGCTGGACTAGCGTTAAATGAAGTTTAGTGACGCCAGCAACAGTGTGAATGCGTTCTCGTGAAGCCTAATATCAGCCCTTCCACGTAGCTGGTATTAACAATTAGTTATATGTCCAGCTGATAGAAATAAATCGACGTGCAAAGCACCTTTGTCCGTTTTTTTTTTTTTCCGGAATATGGATTTCTCTGTATTGTCGTAGCACCCATCTCTCCTCTACCCAGTATTCAAGGCAAAGCTGAATTGCAAGGCTGTCAAAGCGACGTCAAAAATTACACCCTTCGTTGCAGCGGGACAATGGTCTTTTACAGTCAAACCAAGTGAAGCGTACCTTTAAAGACTACATTAATGAATTGAATATTTGATTATGCAACCCGCTAGTCGTTTGAAGAATACGGGTAGCGGGTTCAGTATTTAAAAAGAAAAAATCATTTTGTTATTGCATTCTTGAAACGACTGGCGGGCACAAATATTGTAATAATCAATTCATTAATGTAATCTTGAGGGGTACGCTTCGCTTAGTTCGACTGTAACAACTCTTTTCCTTAGCCACAAACGCAGTTTCTGGCTTTCCCAGACACCATTCAAGCAAACTGAGAAAAACATCCGAGTCTCCCTTGGCATATACAAAGTAAAAACATACTTTTCTAGATTTCAAACCATGAATATATGATTATCACTTTCCTCCTATCTCTTCTGCACCCTCCTAAACCCTACAATAACCTCACTCTCCACCCCCTCCCCTCACCTCACCCCTCCACCCCCTCCCCTCACCTCACCCCTCCACCCCCTCCCCTCACCTCACCCNCCCCCCACCCCTCCAAAAAAAAATGGATAGTTAGGAAACTTTTCTTTTGGCTTTTGCAGGCAAGTAAACAATTACGAGAGAAATAAACGCAATCAAGGGTCATCTTTTCATGGAAATATATTTATTTCCATGAAAAGATGACAAAGAATTAGGCTACACAAGCACTTACTATTATATTCTCGTCACTGGAAACAAAACATTTTCGGTTTTTAGTACAATTTAATACAGCAATGGCGAACGTAAACGTTCAAATGCAATTGGAGTGTAAGCATACATTTCAAATTTTATTCCTGTGTACCACGCAAAGGTTTTTCGGTTGTGTTTGTATGTGAGCACGCGTGGAAAGATTGGAGTGAAAAAAACAAGGCGAACGGTGCACGACGGGAAGAGAAACTCTCCTCGCACCCTCCTCTCCCCTCCTCCCCCTTGCTTCTATAGTCACCTTGGTAGCCTCTGTGTGGAAGAGAGATTTTATTGCAAACCATAACCGTTAGAGCTGCTGGGGGAGTTTGACATTTAATTCGTGATAATATATGTTCGTCATTTTAAATAAAATGAATCTACTAATCTACATTTTAGGAAACTTTTCGTGAAACATTCGAATAGAATTTTCCGCCATTAATTCTTTTTAAATTTAAGCATATTTACAGATATGTTTGTCCCAAGAACTCAAGAATTCAAGACCTTATCCAGGGGGCTTATACCAATTGAAGAGTTTTCCGAGTCTTTGCACCTCCGAAAGACATCTGGTTACGTCCGTTGCTTGGCAATTTCGGTGAAGCCGAAAACCGGGGAGTCATTTAGCCCTTGGGAGGAAGGAATTCTCCCTTATCTAGTACTTGCTCCTGCTCTTCAACTACCGGATCCGTCACGAATTCGGAAAGTTTTGGTCCCCGATTCATGTGAATGAATCAGGGTTAAATACTCTCTGCATTTTTCATGAATCCGGAATTAAAATACCACAAAATCGGACCACTTTGTCGGAACCGAACGAGTTCGTAACATCAAGCTCGCACTGCTTTCCACATCAGAGTTCTTAATGTTAACGTAAATCCCCTCCACCTCTACCCCCACATCAAGCGATAAGCTAGAACGGTTTCTTGATCAGTCTCTCCAGCTTCTTTATTCTGCTCGATTCCTGCTCGGTCGTGGCATGGGACTGAGCGGTCGCGGACTCTCCAGGTACACTGCCTGCCGGAGGGGAGGGGAGACGGGAGCGGAATAGATCCAGCATGCTGTGTTGCTCGCTGCGTTTTAAGCCCTGGGGAGGGATAGTGGCGAAAAGAATTGTCAAGCGGAGAAATACCGTAATTACAAGCAGGGTAACCATTCAGGGGACGACGGTTGACAATAGTTTTAACTCTCCTCGTTTAGCTTGAAACTGTTATTGACCTTATGAGGGGCCCCCAGGCGGTATAAATGTTTCCGGGAATCCCTTAAAAATGTCACATTTTCGTCCTTTAGCCATTGTTCCCCATAATTTCTCGCCAAAGTTCATGTCATTGATAGAGAAATACCTTGTTCTTTCAAATATATCACCAAAATACCCCTTGTTCCCTAGAAATAGACAACCATGTTCCCTTGTCCCCCAAAAACCACGGGGAGGTCCTCCCTCATGCATGCCCCATCTCGTATCTTTTTGCCTGATCTAAAACATCCTGTTCCCCTCAGACGTGAGTGGTTCTTGCATGCAACCAAGTGTTTTCGTATTGATCCAACTACCGACTTAGAGGGTGAACTGATACAAACATAATTTAATCTGTGAGCTAACCTTCATGTCCAGAAGTTTTTGAAAGTTGGAAGTATCAGTATCTGCAAGCAACTTGATGTAATTGTCAACAAACCCAACCGCGGGGTCGTGTGGAGACATGACCACCTTACAACAACAAAGAAATAAGCGAAGTCAATCAACGAGCTCTTGACGGGCGTGACACAAGGGTTATTGACCAAGCGTGAGGTCAAGATGGCTGGATATTAGCCAAGTTCTTTTTTTCTGTCCCGGTCCTTCGGGATAAACACGCCAAAGAACAAGGCCAAAATCCAGCCATCTCGACCGAACAAGCTTGGTCAATAAGGGATTATACGGTTTCCGGGAAGTTTTCTTGCGGAACAAAGCGCGTAATCCCTAGCGGACGCCATCTTGTCCGCTCGGGTAGCCTATCACAGCGCAGGATGTGGTTCACCTTGCCCGCGCACGGAACTAGCCTTATAGTAATGACTCTTACTGCAGCATATCCACCGTATTGAGGTTTGGAACTCTCCACTACCGAGTAGCGAAGGCCACATACACCTTAAGGGTACATTGCTATTCAAAATGACGCTTTCCCAATGGCAACTCCATTTTCGCATGTTTAATTCCATGGCAAAAAGTCCTTTCATAATTCAGACTAACCGTTGAAACCGTCAGCCCGTTGTCCGTGACGTTTATCCTTAGAGTTCGCTTTATACGGACAGCTGAATAATACGGAAACTTTTGCATTTCCTTTGGGCGGTTTTATTATCTCAGGATTTGTACTGATCCAGGTCTTAAAAAAGATTCAACACTCTTCATTAGTTTTGCGCGGCAGTTTTGCCTTATCTATAGGTGTGTTTTAATCGTCAGCCTCGTACCCAACGAGAGACATGGCACAAGAAAACTCTAGAGTATTTACCTTCAATATCATTTCTGCTTTTTTCATTCCTTTCGCCACGACTTTAGTATAACTGCAACAAAGAAAAAATCCCGGTGAACATTTAAGGCTTGACAAAGGCTGTCCTAATTAGAAAAATGCTCTAAATCTAATGGCGTGTCAGTTGCATAAAAAAAAAACAAAACAAAAACATATTTTTTAAGACATTAAAGACAGCTGAGAAAATAAATATTTTTTGCAGTTTTAACTGACACTATAAAAGACAGACAATGAGAAAAAAAAAATGACACTGTACGTAGACAGGAAACCTTATCAAATATCAGATTCTCACTACTACCATATGAACAAACGTGTGGTAAATTAGCAAAGAGAACTGAGATGTCGAGCAATAGAATAACTTCACATAGCACAAGGGAAGCGATACACTTAAAGAAACAATTTGATGAGATTATTATGAAAAAAAAAACCATTTCTTTGCATTTCTGCTGAAGTTGGAATGCAGTGGGAAGGCGAACCGCAGGCGAGTGTTTTTACAGCGTCTATAGGAGGTCTCTCAAAGTGAGCGCCATCGAGCGCGAGAAAAAAGGGACAAGTATTTGGCTCTACTGATCCTAAAAAGCGAAAATAGCAGCATTCTTGTTCGGGTTGGTTACAGCAAGTTGCACAAATTGCACGGACCACGCACACAACGCGGCAAATCAAGCCAAACACATTGCTTTTAAAAGTCGCGCAAAGACTGCTCCATAATGACGATTACCTCGCTGGAGGCTTTCTCTGCACTTTAGAGCCAATGGACGGAAGATCCAACAGAATTGTCTTAAGAGAATGAGTATCCAGTAACAACTGTGGAGGAAAGAAAACAAACAATCGTTAACGACGAAGTAACAAAGAGCTAGGTTGTTCAGTGGGAGGAGGGAGCTTGACAACGGCACAAGAAGATGGAGGGTAAGTAAGCTAATCCTCCACAAAGGGGAATCTCTGTTTTACAATATTTGCCTCATTAGCATAGGCGTTTCTGATCGAGCTACAAAAATATCAGTTCTGGCATTTCTTGGTTCTGAATATTGAAAGGGTAAAGCATGGTTACCTGTACAGATCCACCCCCATTCCCCACCCCACCCCACCCCACAAAGAAGATGTAGAGCCTGACAACTTCTCTTTTCGTCTACACAGCTCTTTACGTAAAACCTTAGCAATTCAAATTGTTGGGCTCACACCCCCGTCCACCTCCCCACCTCCATCCCCACGAATGTTCTAAAAATTTCTAAGTTGGCAAATATGCTCAAATAAAGGATGAGATAAGCAGATTCACTTGTGAAGCCACACTCACTCCACACGAGATCTGGTTAGCCTGCGGTGAAGCCGGACGTGTCACAGGGTGTCTGTGACGCCGGCTAGATCTGATAGATGGGAATAAATCTGAAACGTGTACGATTTTATCAAAGCTACCTGTTCCGCTCCAACTGTGCTGATTGGCTTACACTTGTATAAGTTGCTGATAAACCGCGGGATAAAAGAGCTGAGGAAAATAAGAAAAAATACTGCTAATTGACACTAATGGGATCATTACCACACCTACTTTTTGATGGCCAAATAAATCAATCAAACATTTCTTTTTGAAAAAAACCTCTTTGGATACATGATGCGTCCCCCACTGGAGTAAACAATTCAAAATTTGTAATAAAACTCGGCCTGAAATGCGGCCAGTCATGGAAACTGGTATGATAATTTGAAACTGAACATCCAAAGTTAGCACTAATTGTCACTGTGGTTACAATCTGTTTTCCATTAAAATAAAACGATATACTTTGGGCCATGATTTGAAGAATTCCATAACTGAGAAGTTGCCAATTTTGAGGCCCCTGGCGTTTAACAGTGAAATGTTATGCCCGGGGGGACAACCTTGTTAAAAGGGCAGGGATATGCTACTCGTAAATGTGGAATTAACTCCCCCTTTAAGGAAAGAAATCTGGGCGTGGCGCAAGATTAATTTGACCCTGAAAGGATGCCGCACTAAATACATATACGAGCAACAGCGACTACGAAGACAATAAAGGAGGTTTTATGCCTGATCGATCGTCCTCACCGACACAATATGTCAGCATTTCATCATTTCTCCCCGTTCAGCTTTATAACAGATACCTTACTGGGTTAAAACAGAAGTGTTCCGTCCTTAACACCATAAGTGGTACCAAAATCTGCTATTTACACCTCTGAAAGAGACGAAAAACATCTTCGTCCCTTCCCCCCTGATAATTCTGATAATTCTTGGAACTTACTTTACAAACTTGACGCAGAACTGGGTGAAGTATTTTCTAGCTGACGATAGATAATCTCGAATAAGAGGTACAGCTTCCTTCAGGTGATTTGTGATCGCTGTCACGTAAGAGCTCTCATCTCCCACAGCTTCCACGCTCTGCCAGTTCACCTATAGGCAATTATATAATGAGCCAAATTATTCTCGCATTTTCATTGGTTCTTATACTTATGATCTATTGGAGGACAGACGTATAGATGACGTCATTAACATTTGTTTGGTTTCTTTACTACATAAAACAACTAGATCCCATGTTCCGTGCGTCTGTTCAGTAATAGATTACAGGAGACGTCAAAATGTGGTAAGAACATCAAAGACGCTCTCGGCTATTCTCTATTTTCCAATTACCCATAATTCACTCTGTTTACCCCCCAAATTTTCCATAAACTATTATTTTCAAATGCTTTGGGGAGGTCTGCATATTCTCAAGAGCATTTCACAACAATAGTTTAAGCAAAATTTGGGGTGCAAACAGAGTGAATTATGGGGAATTGGAAAAAAGAGAATCGCCTCGTGTGCCACTTTTTTGTTCGTACCACATTTTGATGTCATCTGTGATCTATTACTGAACAGACGCACGGCAACATGGAATCTACTTCATAAACAGAATGCACAATACACATATGTTACTGAACATAACGTTGGTTGAGATCCTCGTCTTGAAATTACACGGAGGAGAAGAAAACATAAAAGCACCATCTTCTATTTGGTTTAGAATATAGGACAAAAAGGCGAAAATATGTACATCTGAGAAGGGGAGATATTTGGCAATAATAAATCTGTTTCTGTGTCTTTTTACTCTGCTAAAGAACGTAACCATGCTCTTCACCTATTTAAGCAACAGAGGACCTTCTCCGTGTTTTCATAGCCTCGTCTGAACAAGGGGGGGGGGGAGTTGGAAGAATTCGAGACAGTTATGTAAACCATCAACTGCGTCTCAGGTTTGCATAACTTTCGAGAATTCTCCTAACCCCCGAGAGTACAGCAGCTATGTTTTAAGTGTCATATAATACGGTGGCCAAGCTCATGCGGTCAAGAAGGCAGGATATTGGCCAAGCAAAAAAGAACTTGGCCAATAATCGGCAATGTCGACCTCACGCTTTTTCAATGACCGTACTTTTCCCTCAGATATCTTGTTCCGAGTTATGCCGGGATAAACATTGTTTCGATCTGTTGTGTCTGAGCTGAAGATCGAAATTCTCATTTCTGGATTTCATACATTTGCTTTATCTCCCCTTGGGTGAATTCCATCTCCAGTCAAGACGTCCTCCATGGGATGATCAAGTCGTGCACTCTCATAACGTGCCAAGTTAGATTTGCCATAAAAGGTAAGGAGAATTTATAGTGAAATACTGCACCTTGATCAACGCTGTTAAAGGAGCATCACAAGCATTCTCCAGGTCTTGCACAAGTAGCTGGATGCAGTTTGATATTACACTGAAACAAAAAAGAATTATAAGGATTAAATTAATAAGCTATGTATGAGTGATGGAAAACATATTACACGAAAATGAGTTTCACACATGCTAATTTCTTGTAGCCTATCATTTCAAGCTTTTTTAAAGCTGATTATAGTGGAAATCACAACAACAACAACAACGTTTTATTTACTGTAAACTCATGCCACATGAAAGGTCTTATATCGTGCCCCGTTCTGAGTTAGAAAGCGACGCAACGAGCATCTCGGAAATGAGTATAAATGTAGCAAGAGACTGCAGACGAAAATGCTGCTGGTATATTTATTTTGTAAATAATCTCGGAAATAGCCTATTCTAACAGAAAATGAATGAAATGGGTACATTTAAGTACTAGACTCAGCTGCACAAAGAGTGGATAACGTTATCTTCCAGATAAATCACTATACAGTGATGCACCTCAACCTGCGACATCAGCAAGCAAACCCTTAAAACAATGCCCCCCAAGGGCAATCAAAAAGAGGAGAAATTTCACCGACGAAAAATACAAAAAGACGGTATGCCGCATATTATCTTAAGCTACATACAAAGCTAAAGAACGATATCAAACTACGAAAATACTTTTTACTCAGCTTATCAACAAGAGGGAAAAGTTCTTGTTCCTTGATTATTATTTTGATTTTGTTTCAAAACTCCAGTTTGAAAAACAGTTTATAGCCGGATAGACTGCTGGCAGTCTGTTTTTCTCTCAACATTCAGCAGGGGTTATGAGGCGAAACGCTTTTGCCTAAAGGGGAATGGGACGAACCTTCTTCCCTACTCGGCCACAGCGCCCTTGTCTCGCCTTCTTCCCTACTCGGCCACGAACATACCGCGATTTGGCGTTCGTGAGGACTGAACACTCGTCTAAGTGACCTTTACGGAAAAATCCGGCTGCCAGCGGTCTATTTATAGATGGCAATAGAGGCTGGAACGGAGGTGCAATTTCCATGTAATCTGTGTTCCACATCCAAATTGAAAAACAAGCACATGAAACTATCCCTTTAACTTTCATTTCACGTGCCAAGTTTTCACTTCTCATGCAGGTGTTTTCATTTGAAATAACCGTCGCTTCTCCAGAAGACATCCTGCCTCAATTTAGGCTAATGAAGGTTGGTTAAATAAATATTCTTAATGTTAAGACCTCGAGGAATATGCAAACTTTTTACTGCACCAAATAATTGCCCTGGTAGAATGAGATAAAATCTCGCCAAGCTAAAACATTGTGGTGGGTATAGTGAGAATATCTACATCTAAACGCATTGTCAAGGATATTCTTTAGTAATCAAGCTCGATGTGTTATCTAACACGGGCACTAGAAAGCATATCCTTATTCTAATTGCTAAGAACACAAGCAATTTACAACATTTAAGTGAATCAGTAATGAAAAGGCGCCTTTTCCTTTCCAAAACCTTTGTACTAAAACGACATGTGCCAAATGTCTTCTATCAAACTCTGGATGGTTTTTGTTTTCAATTAGTTCATGCATAAACCGCCAGAAATACGATTAACACTCATTTCTTTGTTTCATCTAAGTGGAAAGCGAGATAATATTTTCAAGCCAGTGGCATGTCTTAATTAATTTTCAACACAAACTTTCCTTCAATGATAAGTTCGAGAACTCGACCAGTAGGCGAGATTTCAAAGTCTAATGTAGTAAACACTCTCGGTGAGCTTTAATTAGTAACAAGCAGTCTTGTAAAAAACAGTTATACCGCGCAACTGGATAATCAACGACATTTAAAATCGCCATCTCGATAATAAAGCTGCAAGCTGATCAGCTAAAATACTTTTCGCAGTAACCTTATTTTTTTGACCACAACACCCAGTGGCGAACATGACTGGAGATGGAAACTTCACAAGCAAACTGAACCAAGTACTCAGCACATCACCAGCAAGTGCGCTTCCAGTTTTGACAGCTTTAAACATTTTTCTATCCATGACCGCATCTCTAAGCAATGCTCTGGTCCTTATTGCTCTTCACAAAGTCTCTTCTATTCATCTTCAGACGAAACTTTTCTTTCGATGTCTGGCGGTCACTGATCTCTGCGTTGGTCTCATTGTGCAACCACTTGATGTGACCTACTACTTGTCTCCTTTGACAAAGATGTACTTGAGAACCGTGAACTATGTTTACGAAGCTTGGTCATCTTCAAGTATGATTTTATGTGGAGTATCCACCTTTACGCTGGCCGCTATTAGTGTGGACAGATTTTTCGCCCTGTTGTTGGGACTGAGATACAGACATGTCGTAACATTAAGGCGAGTTCGGGTAGTTATACTTTGTTTTTGGTTAATTGGTGCTTCAGGCGCTGTGGTCTGGGTGTGGAGAGAAGATACTGTTAGGCGGGAAATCTTTGCCGTCGTAATTCTTTCTGTACTGACTTCGATTTTCAGTTACACGTGGATCCACCTCAAACTACGACATCAACAAACCCAAGTACAAAACCATTTCCTCCGAGGGCAAACGAACGGACGAAGGACTCCACTGAGCATGGCAAGATATAAAAAGTCAGCTTCTAGCACTTTGTGGGTACAGTTGGCATTAGCTGCCTGTTATATTCCGCTAACCATTGTAGCTGTGCTTGGTGTTAATGAAAGAACAGAAGTGGTACACAATGTATATGTAAATGGAATCGAATACGACATAGCCTGGTCAACGGCTTCAAGTCTAGTCCACCTTAATTCATCGCTGAATTCAATCCTGTACTGTTGGAAGATCCGAGAAGTGAGACAACATATGAAAGATACTATCAAACAGCAGTGTAGATCGACATATGGTCGCAAAAACTAATAGAAGCGGACAAATAACCTAAAAAAGAAGTATAGAAATGGGCCAAGTCTCTTCTACCACGTGCAAAACTACAAGAATAACAATTTTTGGAGAGGACGCCACATCAGCCTTAGCTGGTCTATCCTGGTCGAATTGGAATTTGGAGATGTTGGTTTTTGAGGAGGGAGGAAAACTGGAGAATCCGGAGAAAAACCTTCGGAACAAGGCAAGAACCAACAACAAACTCAACCAACATATAACACCGGGCCAGAATCGAACCTGGGCTACATTGGTGGGAAGCGAGCACTCTCACCATGCTCTCAAAGAACTGGCAAACAAAATACCGAAGAAAAACCTAAAAGGAAATAGTGATGGAATAAAAATAGGGATTTAAATACAATAAGACACAAAATTACACAGAGAAAATAACGGCGCACTTTTTATGTCACATCTCCTAACAGGAAACAAACAAAATGTAGTTTTGTGGAAATTGTAAGGCTAAAAATGTAATAATCAAATTCAAATTTAGGTTGGATTTTGAATGGGACAATTTTAATCCATTCTTTCGTTAGACACTGAGTTGTTCATTGCATGGGTACGATCCACACTTTTATTGCAACTTGGGCCATATGAAAACATTTTGGTAACCGTTAGGCTTTGATTACAACTTTACTTAGATCAAGTTCCACAACGAAGAAGTCAGATATCTCTGTAATTCCACTGAATTAACAAGTCATTGAAATGAAATATATCATGAGCGGACTAAATAACGCTCGATAAAAGAGCATTCACCAAACAGAAGGTAACTACGAAATACAGAAAAGGAGAAGTTATATTTTCCATAGAAATTTACTATGGGCTGTTGCGAACTTCCGCTAAATAACAGGGAATTCGAAATAACCTAGTTCGAATTAGTGGGTTCCAATTGATATTTATCAACTTGAAGTTAATAAAGGTAATTTTACCGCCTTAGCGAGCTAGTGACGGTGAAATTTCGAGCCTCAGCCCTTTGCTTGCTTTGCCAGTTACCTTAAAGTAGATAAATAGCTAGGAGAGATGGAACGTCACCATGGAATCTTACCAGTTTTTAGCTCAGATACAATGAAAAGTCTATCATTCAAATTTCCAGTGACAAAGTCCGTTAAAACACAGTTTCAAAAAAAAAAAAGCAAGATATATCACTACAAATGGCTCCTAGTTGTATTTTGACATTTATTTTACTTAAAATAATGCAATTTCTTTCAAATCGCAGTTGACATTTGCCCTTTGTGAACTTAGTTCCGATGGATGTACGGTTATGAAAGAACAAATAAAACTTCCATTTTACTAAGTCCCTATACCGCTGCGGGTGATTTTGAACTAAAATTGTTTCACCATATAGCGAATAAATGTCATTACCCGCATACAACAACTTTTCGCGACGTTTGGAATTCGTGTGAAAATGAGTGATAAAATTGAGCACTTTCGCTCTTAGTATAAATTTTCACGCTTTCAATTTTTGCGAAAACTTCACTGAAAATAAAAGACGTTCAGCGAAATAAACGCTGCATTTATCAAGAAGAGTATTAATACAATTTGAGAATATTCTGGACTCCACATTATTTTTCTTCCCGAAGTTTTCCGTCTCCGGTAAAATCATTGTAAAATCTTTCTTCACATCCCGATTACTTAAAATTCGCACCTCAGCGGAATTTTGGTCTAATGAATGTATTGTTTTGAAAAAGAAATAAAACTTCCACTTTACCATTTTTGCTTCCACTGCAAGTGTTTTTTGCTAAAATTCTCTCTCCAGATAGCGAACGAAGGCTGGTTAGCTTCTTAGGTGAGATAAACGTTGCCTTCAGTTATAATGAAATTTTCCGATGCACATGTGTGAATAAATTATCACCACACAACATATTGCTTCTTAGTTTCGCAGGACATACTACTCGCGAAAAAAAGATATCGGAAAATAAACACCCACCAAAGAAAAGTTAAAGACTCGAAATTTAAAATCCTGGCTCCAGTTTTTCGAAGGCTGGATAACGCTAGTATCCACCAGATAAATCGCTATCTGCTGGATAAGTGTTGACAAAACAAACCATGCTATCTTCTAGGCAGTAATTTATCCGCTGGATAGCGTTATCCACCTTTCGAACAAACAAGGCCTGATGTAAAACCAGTTTATTTCCCTAAAATTCAGTTTACATTATCATCCGTCTTCCCGCTCTATTTCTCCAAATCATACAACAACAAGATGCTGACCTGTGTAATGTACACAGCGTCGTGCTTTGTCCCATTGGACATTGGACAGGTTTCCGTCAATGAATTTAAGATAACTGCAGAAATTCTCGCGCGCTCATCGGCCAATTTTCATTGTCAATAAGCGGACAGACTCATGGAATTATAATTCATGCGATGCGTCGACGAGCGAGAGCGGACAATTTGACAATGAATTTCGTCACAACATTGTCAAAGTAGCTGTGGATCCACTCGGCGATCGCCGAGTGGATCCACAACTACTTTGACAATGTTACGACGAAATTCATGATCAATGAAACCACAGACGCATGAAAAACTGACGTCAATTTGTTAAATTGAATTTGAAATTTTGACGTCATCCTCACGATAGGGTTTTAGGTTTAGGGTTTAAAGCACCCGCTCCTGTTCAATTTTTCTTTCGGTCTATTTAGTTCATGCTGTAAACACTATGCAAAAAATTCCATGGTAATAGGTGTCCAACAGTATGCAAAAAAGGTACATCTCTTTTAATTTAAACACAAATGAGTCTTCATGAGTTCACGAAAATGGACAAATAACGAAATTAACAGTGGAAAACAATAAACACCGCGAGCGTAAAACTTTAATCTAAGGTCCCGATAAAAGTATATAAAATAGTTTTCGCGTCATTAGGTTGCATTTTAATAGCGGGATGATGACTGCAACTTTGTGCTTTTGTCGCACATAAGGCCATTTGATGAGTGAAAACACTTTCAAAAAAAAAAAACTCTCTAAAAGCGGTCTTCAGACTAAGTTCAATTTTCTGGCAACCCAATAAAAATGGCCAGCTTTACTGGAGATGGAAACTTCACAGGCAAACTGAACCGAGTATTCGACACAACACCAACTGGCATAGTTGACTTTTTTTCAGCTTTGAACATTTTTCTTTCCATCACCGCATCTCTGGGCAATGCTTTGATCCTTATTGCTCTGCAGAAAGTGTCTTCTATTTATCCTCCGACGAAACTTTGCTTTCGATGTCTGGCGGTCAATGATATTTGTGTTGGTCTTTTTGTGCAACCACTCTACACAATCAACATTATTTCTCTTGTAACAAAGATGAACGAAACTGTTGTACACTATATTTACGAAGCTTGTAGAGTTTCAAGCGTCTGTCTGTATGCAATATCTGTCTTGAAGTTAACAGCAATTAGTGTGAACAGACTTGTCGCCCTGTTGTTGGGACAGAGATACAGACATGTTGTAACTTTAAGGCGCGTTCGTGCAGTGATAATTTGTATTTGGTTAATTGGTGCTTCAGCTGGATTAATCCGTTTGTGGAGAGTTGATATCTCGCTACACGAAGTCGCTGTTATCGTAACACTTTCTCTGGCAATTTCGATTATCTGTTACACGAGTATCCACCTAAAACTACGACATCAACAAGCCCATGTACAAAACCATTTCCGTCAACGACAAGCGGACGTTGGAAGGATTCCACTGAACACAGCAAGATACAAAAAGATAGTTTCTAGCATATTGTGGGTGAAGTTGGCATTTGTTGCCTGCTTTGTTCCGTTTGTTGTTGTGGCTGTGTTAGATCCTGACAGAATAAAGGTTGAAGGGCCATGGTTAGCCACGATAACTTTAGTTTACTTTAACTCGTCTCTAAACCCGATCTTGTATTGTTGGAAGATCAAAGAAATCAAACAGTCAGTGAAGGACACCATCAAAAACCTTAACTGTTTTCAAAAAATTTAGCTACAACGATCGACGTAACTGAATTGCTAATGTAAAATTCAAATACTTTGTAGTAAAAGCGTGAAAAAAAACAAAGTTATTCCACGCTATTGTACAAGCACTGTTAATCTTTCTTGTCCGCAGTTTCCTTCCATGCTAGACATGCTTGTATCATCTTTAGATCAGAGTATCTACGACACTGCCTGTTTCGTGTTTTTAGCACAGAGCTACAATGTATGTAATTTAGTCAAACGACAATTATTCCAGTCTATCTACGTAAAAAAATAACTTAAATTGCTTCCCTGGCTCTGCTAGCCTCAATTGTTATTCCAGGACGCAAGTGGTCATTTAAGTTTTAAATTTTCTATCAAATGAAATATACATTGCAACGATGAGTACAAATAAAAGTTGTTGTTGTTACAACAAAAATCAGTAAATTACTTTATTCAAGATAAGTTTAAGGTATATCTTGATCTTCTCTAGCTNGGGGGGGGGGAGGGAGGGGGCTGCCATGTCTTGCAAAGAGCAAAATTGTCTTCGCTTCCGAAGGAACCTCGATCTAATAGTTTCAAAAGGTAAAAATAAATCACAAAGAAACAATGATAGTCACCACTGGAGAAATTTGACATGAAATACAAATGCAAATCTTCAAAACCATCCGTTAAGCAGCTCACTAAACACGAACGGCAAAACTGGAACTTGGTCCAGGTATAATTTACTTACGATGCAAAATCACTGGTAATAAGAAAAAATTTAATTTTCAATAACTGAATCTACACATGGAAGTTACGTAGGAGCCGACAACCTTTCTTCAAAGGCGTTTTTTAAAGATGATCCAGTTAATGATTCTTCCATACACAGGCTTGCGTTCACAAGATTGGATCGTGGAAATATTGTCATTGTTGTAGATGTACAGTCAAAAAACTACAGAACAGGCTTTTTACCAAGTCACTGTAAAACCATTGTACGATAAAGAATTCAGAACTGAACGAAGATTCTTGGTTCTCTTTAAGAACCTGCTTGTTCGACTGCATTGTGATTTACTACGTGACTGCCTGTGTGAAAATTATTTCACTGTGATCAATACTGGCTGAGAACAGGAAAATTTATCATTATTTAAGGTTCAAGCTCGAGGATCGAGTGTTCAAAAACTGCAACATAGCGCAGCATATGCAACACAACACAAGGACAGCATCGGGCAGTTGTCCGGTCGATGCCATTTTCGCGACACTTCTTTAACTATCAACGAATTTTTCTCTACTATCAAAATTAAAGAAAAAAGAAAATTTGTATGTAACCACCCAGCATCGAATCCGGAACTTTTGTTTCCTAACATCCCTCTTTTACCACTACACTACCAGGTTGATCCGCCAAATCTCCGCAAAATTTAATTATAAAACATGACTTTCTTAAATACTAATGATAGAGTTGCCCCAACCATCAAATAAAAACTAACCGCGAGCAAACCAGCGTGAATATGAACAATTAAGCATTTGGTGAGTGCGTTTACTCCATCAACAAATTATGACCAGTTTCTACCTTGTCCAGGCCTAAACTAAAGCAGATATGGCATCGTCCATTCTGAAAGGCTTGGTTACCAATGATGACATCGACCGTTTACGAAACCGAAATCAGCATCGGCCGTGCTCGTCCCCAAAGCCCTAACAATTAAACTAACTTGTCTTAAAAATTAGCAACCATGGTGACTAAGCTTCTACTCTGTAAGAAATGAAAAAAAGGTATTCTAGTCGAATATGGGTATTAGAACTCAGTGAAATTATTTCCAGTCTACTCACTTTTGTAAAATATATTGTAAGATAACTTTCATTTTACCAAGTTTTTTTTTTATCACTTCTAATGCAGGTGTCTTTATTTGAAATTACGAATCTTCCCTAAGCAGGCTGGTGAGTTTCCTATAATCATTTGACGAGTCTTAAAAGAATATACAAATATTTGTTAAAATATTGCAATATTCTCTGATCAGTAATTGCCACCGTTAGGACACGAGAAAAACTCGCCCGACAGCTTCAGGATTTCCGAAGATATAATATACATCTTAACATGCTGTGTTCCCGAACACAAGCAAATTAAAAACAACATAGTTTATTCCACGATATTGCTTTCAGCCATTCCCCATCCTATCCACTGGTAAAAGCTTGAGCGGACAGCCTCCGCAATTCCCTACGTGTAATTACATTTTGATATTCTGTGTTTACGAACCAGAGAAGAAACAGATATCTTTTTTTCAGTTTACTCAATACACGCATGTTAGGTAATTACTGTTACGAGGATTTTCAAATCATCAAGCAAGATGTTTTTGTGACCGATTAGAAAAAAAATATTATTTTAATTTCCAACACAAGGACTCTGTTTTCAGTTGTTTCAATAATATTTCAATCAGTACACTCAAAAAAAAAAAAAAAATTGGTAATACAAATGATATGTGACTGATGCTATTCTTTTAATCTTTACGACTGCCTTTTTTCATTCATTTTATCTCTGAGGAGCTGGGCAGAGAAGAACACAATGGTGTATTCAATATTTTTCAGTTAGTACCGTATTTTCTCGATTAAGTGCCGGGTCAGCAAGCTAGATTTAAAATGTCATCACGGAATTCATATATTCGAGTTATATATAATACAGCTGTTTTCAATTGAGTGTCGTTAAACCAAAATCAAACCAAATACTTACCAATTCAACAACTCAGCAAATCTCAAACCGTAATAAAACCAATACCAAAAAAGTTATCGCCTGATTATCTTCGACACTCAATTGAAACCGCTTTAAACTTTATAATTATAAGATATTTAGCTCTCTAATAAACGCCAGCTTCGAATAAACTGCCAAAGTCAAATCAGCGCCGATTAAAAAAAAGCCAAATTAGAGATTAAAGCCAGGGGCGTTCAGTTTTTTTAGCAGAAACGCAACTTCATGCTATCCTCAAAAATATAAATTTAAAAACAGAGATATTCCAGGTCACAAAATTAACATCTAAAACAATTAAAAATTCATAAACAGACCAACAAAACAGTTTCTAAAGCGCAACTACGTGCTTTCGTAGTAACATATAAAATCATCGTCTCACTTATGAAGCTATTGAAGATTTATTCTCAACAAACCGTTCTCTGTAAGAACAAGTTTCACAAATATCTTTTTTTCAGCTTACTCATCACACGCATGTAAGTCAGTCACTGTTACGAAGATTTTCATATAATCAAGCACGATGTTTTATGTGACCCATTAGAAAAAAGGGTTATTTTACTAGCCAAGATAACAACACTGTTTTCAGCTGTTATATTAATCACTAGACTTGAAAAGACATGGTAAAAAGATATCTGAACGAAGAAATTAGTCTGGTCTTTAAGACTACACTTTTTTTTTTTTTTTTTTTTTGATTTGGCTCATCCCTTGAAAGATGGATAGAAAATTAGTAAAATAATGTATTCATTATTTTTTTCCATTAGAACGCCTGGTTATTTTCGCAAGCGGCTGACAGGTCTGTCAGGTTTTAGCACAAACGT